TCAGAGAGACAGAGAGAGAGAGAGAAAGTGAGAAAGCAAGCCACCAGGTCCGAGACTTGAACCATAGTCGGCCATGTGGGAGTCCAGCACCATCCACTTGCCAGCCCCAGACCTGGATGTTTTGTACTCCTGGAGAGGAGAGTCTGCCCAGAAACAGGCCTGAGATGACTGAGTTACCACCTTTGTTCTATGCATGGAGTCCTTGAAATGCGGTCGATGGTGCTTTGGAAACTGCATGCATGTAGTACTACTGCCCTGGAGGGGCCATAAGGGGAGGCTAACCCTGTGAGACTGGATTTGGCATTTTCTGTAAAAGGACTTGAAATGTAAAATGTGAGAAGAGGCCACCTTTGGTGCAGAAAATGAGGACTATGGGAGTGAATCTGAGACCTTTGCTCTCTGGAGTTACAAGAACAAACCATGGTCAGCCATGTGGGAATTCAGTGCCCTCACCACCATGCCCCTGCTGGCCCTCATTTACTGTGATTTTTACATTTCTCTTAGCCCTGACAATCACTTTGTCTTCACTAATAAGCTCACTGGATTCGCTTGCTGGTTCTTTATTCCAATGATCCAGATACTCAGCTGCACCATGCTTCATTTGCATAATCTTCTATTTTCTCAGTCATTGTTTAGAAAAGTAGAACCTTTGGTACAAAAACAATTTTAGTGAGCAGTCTCAAGGTGAATTTGTACTTATGAAGGTTGCCTATGTATTTTCGTCCTATCTGACCAACATAAAAAAAAAAAAAATGAAACAAAACCTAGTGACTTAGGTAGCCAACACATCTCCACTCACAGAGCGGAACCAGACATGCTGAGTGGTAAGGTCTTAGTCCTTAGCAAGCCAGTGAGGAAGCTGGGCAGGGGGCTTGGGACTGTGTGGGTAGGTTAGACACCACACACTGAGCTCCCTTCTGCCTTTCCTCTTCACTCTATCTCCCTGAGACCTGGCTCTGGGCCACTGAGGGGCCTGTGACTATCTCAAGACTGTTCCCTGACCTCGCGGAGACCCACACTGACATCACAAGATTAGAGGCACCCAGCTCTTAACATATTCTGCCGATTCTTCTCATCAATAAGCTAAACATCTATTGCAACTCCATACAATGTATGTGTGAGCCAGACCCCTGATCAGGTGATGGGGGAATTTGCATTAATCTATAATTTATTCATGAACGCTTTGCTCTTAACATGTAACCTGACCTCATGATGGCATTGACCATTCTCCTCGGGGCCATCAGCAGATCATCCTGTCCTATGTAAGTAGACTCATGTCTTCCTGGCTGGCCTTCTGGTGTGTTCTCTGGGATGGATAAGCAATATGGGAAAACCATCTCAGGTTTGGAGCATCCCCAATACACCAGATCACTACAAGGTTTCATGTGAATCTCTGTGGACACAAAGACCCCAGGACCTAGGAGAACTGGTGCAGAACAAAGTCAACTGAGAACAAATGAACCAAAAAGCAAGAAAGCAAACTGTGCTGGTTGTCATGTGTCAACTTGTCTAGGCCATGGTGCCCAAGCACTTGGTCAGGCATTGTTCTAGATGTTTCTGTGAGTGTGTTTTTGGTTTGCGATTTACTTTTAAATTGGTGGACTATGAGTGAAGCAATTTGCTGTTCATAATATAGGTGGACCTCATGCAATCAGTTAACAGCTTGAACAGAACAAAGACTGATCTCCTTAGAGAAAGGTGAAATTCTCCAGCAAACTGCCTTTTCCCGAGACTTCAGCCCACTGACCACCCCCATCAGAGGTTGGATGGCAATCCTCTACAAAGTGTGAGTCAAATCTTTAATCTCTCTCTCTCTCTCTCTCTCTCTATATATATATATATATATATAATATATACATACACACACACACACATCCATCCATTTGTTTATGTACATATAATCCTCTGTATATACATTCCTCTCTCTATATACATACATACATATGTGCACACACATACGCAAACCACACGTATACCCTATCGGTTCTGTTTCTCTGGAGAACCCTGATCTAAGACATAATAAGCTAACAACCAACCGTTACAACTCCAAAAAAGAAGGTGGTATGAACACAGCTATTATGGTTTGAATAAGAGTTTGTTCCCCAAAGTTTCATGCTTCAGAATTTGGTCTTGGGAGGTGGTGAGGCCACTGAGCAGTGATTGGATCCCAGTGACTGCATTATGGGAGTAATACTTGCATGACTACATGAAGGTTGCCTTGAGAGACCCAGTGAGTTCTAGCTCTTCTGAGAAGGCATCACTTCTCACAACAGCTGGTGCTATCAGAGAGTGAGAGCCAGCACTGGCCGTCCTCTCTCTGCATGTGCCTCAGTCTCTGTGCTTCTCTGAGCCATGCTGGGGCTCTACGCCTTCCAACTCTTCAGGCACCAGAATTATGGGTTTTGTAAATGACTCTCTACTCTCTTCCATTCTCTCAGTCTCTGTTGTCAACAGCATAGCAGTCTAAGATAGTAATTACTCACTCAAAAGTGTCGACTTTCTGACACTGTCTTGATGTCAGTAATAGGCTGGGCCAACAAGACTAAATACTTTGTCGTGGGACCCTCTCACACAAGAAAAGTGTGATTTATCGGCTCTTTAACTCTGTGCCCTTTGCTTGGACTTGTAAGGAGAGAAAAAATACTTGGCATTCTACCATTGGGTGGTAAATCTGCACGATTAGAGCTGGAAAATTGCCTTTGAATTAAAGTGATGTTGGCAAGAGATGGAGAGCATGAGTAAAGGAATGTCTCTACTCAGCCAACTTGTCAGCTGCCTTTGGTCTGCAGGTGTGTTTAATAGATACATCTTATAATGAGAAATGATGTTTATAAATTGACCATCTTCCATGTGTTCGTGTTATGTTTAGTCGTACATCTGTGTCAGGCAAAATCTTTTTCCTGCCAACTGAAAGCGCCTGGCCAAGTTTCAGGGTGGTAAGGCTTAGCAGATAGGCTAGTCTTCACCCATCTCACATCCATTATGTGAACTGACATCTCCAGCAAGCACACACTGTGTACCTGCTATCCTGTACTCTGTTCTAGAACTGGGGATACAACAATGAACAAGTTAAAAGTCTCCTCTCATGGAGCCGCTACTCAAATAGAGAAATAAAGGTTGCCTTTGTTCAAATTACCAAAACAAAATACCATAGACCCTACAGTTTAAAAACACAGTTCATTTCTTACAGTTCTGGAGGCTGGGAAGTTCAACACCATAGGGTCAGCAGATTCAGTGCTGGGTGAGGGTCCACTCCTGACTCAGAGATGATGCGTCCTAGCTGTGTC